GATGAGATGAGATGAGATGAGATGAGATGAGATCTCAGTAATTTCCAGGGAGGGTGACAAGAAGATGGTGCCCAGGCTCTTGTCAGTGGTGTCGAGTGACAGGACAAGGAGCAATGGCCATAAACTGCACAAGAAGTTTCACCAAACGTGAGGAAGAACTTTTTCCATGGAGTGAGGCAGAGCACTGGAACAGGCAGCCCAGGAGTCTTGTGAAGTTTCCCTCTCTGGAGACATTCCAAACCCACCTGGACACATTCCTGTGTCACCTGCTCCAGGTGACCCTGCCTTGGCAGGAGGGATTGGACAGGGTGATCTCCAGAGGTCTCTTCCAAGCCTAAAAGCTCTGTGATTCCATGAGTCTGTGAATAATACAGATTTAACTAGAAACAGTGAAATTCAAAAACACATGGATACAGTGGGCTACAACACATAAAATGATGGTCTACTTAATTTGCAAGTGCACATGCTATTTAAAGTGAGGGCAACTGAAGTGTCAGTCTGGAAATGTGGAGTGTCAGAGCCATCTGGAAAAAAGCACCCTGCCCTATTCAGACATCATTTATGTCCAAGACCCTTGCTATCATGGATACTGGAAACTTTGCTTGTGTTAAGATTTCATGTAGAGAGCCTTTCTTTGGCTTTTCTGTAATGGCATGTAATGAAAGTAGGAGTTCCATCTGAATACCATTTGTCCATACAAAGCAATATTTTACATTTGGGGAAAACCCTGGCTCCATGGAAACTGATGCAGAATATTTTTTTGTGACTCCATTGGAGCCAGGATTTTCTGTATTTTCCAATACTTTCACAGTAATTGGATGTGGAGCTGGACATCAATACCAGCTGATGATAATATTGAGCTGTAGAATGTTATTTGCTATAATGGTTGTGATCAGAGGCAAATCTGTCTTCTGCCCTTTCCAAAGGAGACATTTAGGGAGGAACCCTCAATTTTTTCAGAAACACATTGAGAGAAGAGAAAATGGTCAGTGTAGTCATAGGTGCAGTCCAGCTTTCCACCATCTGTTTGGGCCAGAGCTCTGAAGTCCCACTGCAGTTAAAGACAGCCTCAAGAGATACTTAACTAATGGTGTAGCTGTCCAGTGCCTTCCCAGGTCATTCCTGGGGTAAAGGTAGTGTGGGTAGGATATTTTTGCAGTTCAGTAATTTTGAAGTATAAAAAAGGTCTTTTGAGGCCACGAGGGTAACTGGCAGCTTCCAGAGTTTTGCCCTGGTGAGATCAGTCCTGGTCTAGGGTCAGAAGGTGAGAGAGTGAGGAAGGATGAAAATTTTACTTTAGCCCTTCATGTCTTTATTTGTCCAGCAACGTCTCTATATCTCAGCTGAGCCAAGGGAATCTAGGAATGTGTCTATACAGATCTGGGTTAGATAAGCTCTTTCCATTAGGAATTTAAAGATGAAATATACCTTCACATACATTTTGAAGGAAACCCTCTTTTCAAGCCAAAACAATAAAGATATTTTGTAAAATCATTCTGTAATTGTTCTCCATTTTTCTCCACTTGTTCCAATGACAGTGATAGCACTCAATCAAAGACGTCATGTAGGTAGTACCTGTGCATGACAGGGATTAAACTTTTATTTTCTGACAACAGAAAATAAAACTTTAAACTGAAGAAATTCATCTCTTGTAATACTTCAAGATTTATCTATTAAATTACTTGCCAGCAGTTTGGGAAAAAAAAGCTATCTGAAATCACACTGGGAAATCCTCTGAGTTCAGTCAAATCTCTGAGTCAGCTTCATTTATCACAGCCATCACTGGCTGCTCTATAAATACATCTGCTTTTACAGCCTACACATTGTGAGATTTGCCTGTTATCTCCTCAGAAGAGAAGGGCTATAGTGGCTTCTCTTAAACAAGCCTGGCTCAGTCAAAGCCAACACGAACACAAGCCCAAGAGGCCGAGTGCATCAGTTGTTGTTAGCTTTGATAGTCCCTGCTATCATTTGAGAGTGTGCTTGCAGCCAGTCCAAGTTGGCAGTGTCAGCCCAAGCTGATTGGAGCTGCAGACATTTTTGCTGACTGGAGTCATGCTATCTTTGCCAGTTTGCTGGAATAGACACAGACACTGATTGGGTCATGCTGAAAACATTCCTGTCCTATGAAGCAAGTCTGTTTGTATTTCAGGTTTGCCAGGACTAATGAATTAAAAATCTTGGGCTCACCACAGTTTGCTGTTTAATAATGCCTGTAACAGAAGGATTTTTTCCTCCCTGAAGTATGACAGCATCATAATCCCTCATCCCTGGCAAGGAGAGGAAGGAAAATCAGAATTGTGGAAAAGGGTTATCTTTTGGGACAGCAAAGCCTATGGGAAGTGCAGGTAGCAGCATGTTGCCCTGACAGCTGTCTCAGCTTCTCAGACCTTGTCAGTTTGTTGCTATGCAGCAGGTGCAGCCTTTTCTTTTATTGAAGCTTTACTCCATAAAGGCAACGACGAGCCAAGGCAGTGGCTGGCCCTGGATTATACAAGTGCAGACACTCCGCTAAGTGAGGTAAGGCAACAGGTGTGAAAAAATCCATAGAGCTCTTACAGCATTTAATCTGACTTCTGCTGCAGGTTTTTTACAGAGGAACAGCAGCCAGCCAGCTCTATAGGCAATTGTTGGGAAGATGAGAGCTGCTCATTCAATCTGATTAAGTTCCAGGTTGCCCACTCACTCTCATCTCTGTCTAGAGAGACATTGTTCTTCAATTCTGGAGAAAGCATGTGGGGAATTAGGGGCAGTTGGTCTGCATGTTTCATAATATCACCTTGTTTGCACACAGGCTTTTTCCATCCCTCTCTCTTCTCTGTGATTGCTTTTTGTGATGGAGAGAAAAAGAAAAATCCTTTTCTGAGGATTTCGCAAAAAAAGGAGAGAAGGAATAAATGCAATTTAAAAAAATGATAACAGGGTAAATGCTGTGTATAAGGATGAGATGTCTTTTTTTTCTGAATTAGAATAAAATTAAAATTTTCTTTTGTGTTTCAATAGAATTCATCATTTCTTACTGAAAGGGTATTGATTTTTGCCCTCACAGAGTAGATGATTAAAAGTGTTAATTTAAAAACATTGCACACCACAGAGTATGTGATTGGGATAAAAAAAAGTCTTGTAGTAATATTGTTATGGCAACTTAAAAAACTCTAGTAGAAGGCATCCTTTTTATTTCTTAGGCTATGATGTGAGATGTGAAGTATACTCTTATGTGGAAGACCACTTGAGATAGTGTCAGAGACAGTGTACAAACAGCACAGAACAATAAAAAGCCTTGTTTAAAGGATTTGCTTATCACTTAAAATCTCTTCATTTGGAGAGTTTTTTTTCTTTACCTTGTATTGGGAAGTAAGGAAGGGAAATATGTTTAAGAATTTTGCATTGGTAGTTCTGTTGTATTTTAAAAACAGTGAGATGTGTCAGATGTTTCTTATGAAGTGAGGGTGAGGAAAAGATCAAGAATGCTCAGAAGGTAAAAATTATTTACTCTGATGCAATGCACTTCAAAATAAAATATTTCACTTGACTCCAAGGGTCTTTTCCTGAATCTAAAGCATACATAACTGCAATTTATTTGGCTTTTCTTTGCCTCTGCTCCACAGCTAACAGATTCATTTTTGTGGGTCTTGAATACTAGTAATGGTAAATTAAGAGCACTCCCTGATATCCTTCATATACTAACAGAAACAGACAATTTCAGCTTCAAATAAAATTTATTCAAAGTAAGGATTTTAGGTTATTTGTTGTTATTGTAAGAAAAGATGATGCACTTCAAGTAACAAGTAACTGTATCACTCTGGTAGCTAAATATAAAGAGAGACAAAGCAAATAAACAAGAAATGCTGAAATTAATGGACCCAATGCAAATTTGATCCTCTTCCACTGATTGCATGGCATTGATGCCAGAGAAGTGTTTGATTCATTTGTACACCATCAAGGAAGATTATACTCCTGAAATAGTGTTCTGTTCTATTGACTTTTTGAGACTGCCAAATAATTCAGTATGAATTGGAATGACTTGGTAGCATTTTCCTGCAGTACAATAGCTACTTTACTGTAAAACTGCAAGACTGTTGGCTTAGGAAACTGGCTCTTGTTTTCACCAGCTAAATGCCCTGTTGTCTGCTGACAATGAGTTAGTAAATTCATTGTATTTTCCTGATGAATTTGGTTTCTAATTCCCTAAGAATTTTTTATGGTAATTTGAAAGCATAACTGTCCACCCATTTGGTATGAATACAATGTGTGCTGGATAGCAGTCCAGAGTCCTAAAATAATTTCTTTATGGGCAGATCTTTTGCATGCACAAAGTCCTACTAACTTCACATTCTCTACACATGGTGCTAATCAGAAGATTAATATATTTGAATTTTAGCAGCTTTGTGGTAGATAGTCAACGGGATTGTTTACATTCAGCAATTCAATAGAGTTTAACCAAAACTGTTCATTCAAAAGGTTAAATATTCATAGTAGAGCTCAGAGTACAATTTCTGATGGCACAGAGATGTTTTAATTATACTGTTAGTAGCTAATTCTTTTATTGCTCAACAGTTCTTTAGTGCCATATTTGAAATGAACTAGCAGTTTTCTTAATGGACAGGGTTTCATCACACAGGGTAAAATCACTTTTTGGAATCGATGGTCTCAGAAGAAAGACAGAGGACTGAGTAAGGTCCCAACCCAGGAGCCAAATCCATGCAGACAGACCCCTGCACCTGCACAGGCTTCCACTGAAGAATCACCACCAAGGTTTGGAGACCCCATGAATTTTTGGCCATGAAGTGTGTGACTTGCAGGCACACTTGGACTGGGGGAGTATGGGTGGAAGGTAGGAGGATGAGTGCCTCCTCATTGACACCATGTGGAGTGGTGTGCACGGTTCCAATCACAGGGCAGGCTTGGGGTCATGTTACTCTCAACTCCCCACCCCTTCTTCCTTCTTCACCTTCAGAACCAGGCAGTATTGCCACGAGTCAAGGCTTGCTGAAGGGGCAATGGCGGGGAGCAAGCAGGTGAGAAGAGAGGCAGCTTCCTTTGCCATCGTTCTTTCTAATCTATAAATAGCAAAAAATAAAATCAGTCTCTGCACTGAATTTCACTTAAATTCTTTTTAAATGGAAAAGAGAAATGGCGCTCCCTTGACTTTGATTCTAAACATCTAGCTAGGATGGGAAAGGCAGCTGTGAATGCATGAAAAGCATTAAAACTCATTTGTTGAATGATGTCACATGCTCTCTAATAAATATATTTTTTTGTATTATTGCAGCTGGAGCAAACAAGTAAAAACATTGACTCAAGTGCCCACATGATCACTACGGCCAGGGTACCTGCTGATAAGCCGGTACGAATTGCCTTCAGCCTTAATGATTCCCCAGGTACAGTTTAATTTATGGAGTAAAACACAATGCTTTTAAATTTAAACCACATCTGCTTTTAAAGTTTACATTAATTTACCGGTGTTTACAATATCTAATGTAGTCCAGTGTAATGGATGGATTTTTTTTCATGAGTGGTATCTTGTGGTCAGTTTTCCTGTCTGATAACTTTTAATGTTTCCATTAACAATTTCATTAGACTAAATCCACTAGATTGACAGTTTCAGTCTTTACTTTCTTTCAGTAGTTTGTGGAATGCAATTAGGACTTAATTAACTATCAAATTTACCTGCATGTGCAGTACGTCTGATTGTGTGGAATTGCAAAACAGGAAAAGTAAAAGGATAAATTTGCCTAGAGGAGGAAGAGACTTTTTCTAGGGAGAAGGTTGGAAAGCGCCACACATGCCCAGCTTGGTGAAAGGTTTCAGGAAACAGGTGCCCCACATGTCACGTTCTCTCAGACAGCAGCAGAATTTCATTGATGTTTATCCTATCAGCTCATGCTGAGGGAGTATTAATTTCCCCAAACATACCCTGTACACACACGGACCCTTTGGAGTAGATAAATATTATTGGTTTGCACCTTCAATATTATTAAGGTCCAGAGAGCTGTTGCCAAACACTGCAAGTCAAAATTAAATAAATCAAAGGGGAAGCTTAAAAGCATCCAAAAAAAGTTGGCTGCTGCTTTTGCTAAAGGTGAGTTTCTGGAGTCAGGGCTGAGATGTGTTTATGGCATGAGGTATAAGGACAACAGAAACCTATGCTATTGAGAGCTTTATGGGACTCTTTGCATTGTAGAGTAATATGATGGTTGGTGCCTGAGGTTTGTGTGAACAGAATCTCAGCTTGAATGCAATTTTCTATTTAAAAAATATTTTAGAATATGTGTTATCTTTCCTAGCTAATTGTTGTCTACTATTAGTTTTCAGCTACAATACTGAAATACAATCTCATCCCCCAAGCAAGGGAATTAAAAACCAAACATTTTCATATATTATTGAACCTAACTTTCAATTCATAAAGATGAGTGACAAAAAAAGATTGGGACAAGGAATATAAATAAACATGTGATAATCTGTGTGCCTTTTTCATAAATTAAAATAACCTGGTAATTACATTTTTATTACAGAGAGCAGTATGGAATCATTCAAATCTCTCAAGATACAGTCACATGGTAAAATTCTTGCAGGAATTATGGCATAGATAGGTCTTGAAGAGAGATATGAAGGAAAGGGAAGTGCTCTTACAAATTATGAAAAAAGAATGCTAATGTGAGACCCTGAAAACAAGTCAGGGAAAGTTGAGACCATGGGAAAATCAAAGAGAGCAGAGTGGTTTGTGACAAGAGACGGCAGTAGGAAATGACAAGGTTGTGAGTAGCTTGCAAGAAGGGAACATGAAAGGCAGGAAGCCTGACTTCCTTAACATTGCATCATATTTTATTTTCTACTTTTTTACCCTGCTAATAATTCCAGCCTCTTTCTTAACCTTTGCAGAAATAAACTCAGTTAGAGTAAGGTAATCTTTTTCTTCTACATATTGTTAAATTGTTGCAAATGTTAAAATTGTTAAAATGTTGAATCCTATATTGTAAATATATAAATGTTCCTACAGTGTGCAATCCAGAATCTTCATGAGTACTGATAAAAAAACCCAGCAACCAGTAGAGTGAGTGCCATGTTCCCCTCTGCATCATATCTGTTTGGGGGCTACCAGGAGGTCTAAACCAACATTATTGTTTTACCATACCATAAGAATTTCAAGTGCTTTTATGTTAGGTATATTTCAAGAAGGTAAATGAAATAAGCTTTTAATAGGTGTGAAAATTTCCAGCAAACCATAATTGAATCAAGAGAGTACAAAAAAGTGTTTAACATGTTTTTTTTAAGATGAGCTACAAAAACATTCAAAAGATAGACCTTTAGGTATTCTGTAGTAGGTGCTTTTTTTCCCCCCTTACTCTTTTATGTTTTTTCACCTTTTTTTTCTCCTTGATGAGGATATTTGTTTTCAGTTCAAACAGGAGTGACCTGATGTGTGATAGCAAAGCATCAGCTGAAGCTCATGCACTGCTAGGATACAATAAGTTCTTGGCAAGGGCTAAGTGGTGAGGAAATCTCTCTGACTTAAGCTTTTCCTTAAATTCTACCTCACTTGAAAGGCACAGTGACACATTTTGCCAAGAAAGGCTGCATTCTCCTTCCGGGGGCTGTGCAACTGCTTACTAGGAGGAACTGACAGCATAACTGGATATAAAAAGAGGAAATGGAATGTTTCTTCTGGGTGGTGATTATCTCACTGGCTAGGATTGTAACCAAGCAGTGGGTGTGAGGAGCACTGAAAGGAAAAACTACTCTCAGCTTATGAGAAGAAATTACTTTGTGTTAACTGACCTACAAAACCAGAGCTGGCCTATCCTGAGTGTACAAGAAATAATGTGTCTCACATTATTTGTCAGTCAGCACCTGATGACTGAAATTCTGGCCAGCTTTGTGAGGTATTTTTAATGTGATTGTAGAGTAATCAGTTCCTTAAAAGTCTGAGGAGCAGCCCATCAGAGGATGCTATATAAGAAGACAGTTTTATTGTGTGTCTCTTATTCCTGTATATATAAATGTCTATGTTTGGCCCTTTCACTCAAGTTCACTAACACATTTCCCAGGGTGTGTCTGTGCACTCTGTCACAGCAGTTTGACTTAAGGTACCATTTTAAAGTAATGAATTGGACACATACTATTTCAACCTACCTTATATCACTTGGAAACTAATGCAGCTTGAACTGAATGTGGTGTTCCAAGAGTCAAACAAGTGTTCCAAAGTTGAAAATTCATTGTGGTTTGTCAGCATCAATTTAATGTTACCCATGAAATTTAATATGTCCTAATTTTTATCAGTCTTACAAATACATGAACTTCATGGGATTTAGACAGCTGAATTTGTTTTGTGTAATAGTTCAAAGGGAAGATTTATAGATTCATCTCTCTTTACCTTGCCTTCTCAAATAAAAGCTTGAATCTAGTTCAAAAGTTCTGCTCGTGGCATGTGGTGATAAATGACTGGGTCTGAAATTGTTAGTGAGTTCTTTAACTTGAAATTAGTCTACCTCTGACAGCACTTTATAGAAAAATCACTGACAACAAAGGCAAAATGTAGATCTTCTAATGAACCTGACAGACCGTGGAACAGTGTCATATTTTTGCAAGCATAGCAAAATTACTTATTTTACTCTTCATTATGCTCATTATCCTAGTGACTACAAGGAATTTTTTGCTTTTCTAGTTCACCATGCTGAACTATTTTGCAGTGGTTGCTTCTTCAAAAGCAACCTTCAAATTCCTACCCCACCCTCATATTGGTTGTGGTGGCTCCAGAGGCACTGATTGACAACCAGTGAGAATTGCTAAAATATATGGCTAAAATTTACAGAGCTAATTTCCTAAATCTACACCCAACCTACAAGGCTTGGTTCTTGGGGAATTAGATGGGAAATCAGGTGAGGCAGCCTCAAAGGGACATTCATCTGAGGATGCTTAGGTTTGAGTGAAGGTATATGAAGCATATGTGAAGGATTTTGCTTTTACCTCTTCTGTTATGGACTGTTTCTATTTTTGGGAGGTCCACAACTCTCATTATTGAGCAAGCCTTCACATCCTATTCCTGGGTGGGGCAGTGGCCGTTCCCCACTATTTTACCAGTGAGGTAACTGCGAGGTTGTGCGAGGTCGTGGCAGGCAGGGCTGTGAATAGAAGCCCTGGAGCTGCACAGAGCAGTGCCAAGTTGCAGTCACTTAGCCACACAGCCTTCCAGGATGAATCTGATGAGTCTGTGCTTGTCTGCCAGTGTCCAGGCCCAGAGCTGCTGCATCTCACAGCCCTCCCGGGGCCAAGGCTGGACCCTGACAGGCACTTTGCCACTGTTGTTGGTGCAAGTTGTGGTGCTTGCAGTTCACTTTGAGCACTTTTCCTGTGCAAGGGCTGATCCACTTACAGGATAGCAGCCTACTTATGTTACCAATTTAATTCTTTAATTTAGGAGGAAGAGATCTGAATACATTGGCCCACACATGTAGGAGAAAAAAAAATAGGACCTGACTGTATAATTAAATACTGGATCATAACTCAGTTACTCAAGGAAGCAGAGCTGTGATTGGCATTTCCTAAGTTTCAAGTGCTTGATTTAGCAACCTTAATGTGCTTTCAACACATTTAAATTTTTTATATTCTATTTCTGTCTATCTTAGTGAAGATCATAGAGAAACTAATTTTCAAGATTATACTGGAAGTGAATCAGATGTTGTTCTTAAAGGATTTACTGCCTTTAGCTCACAGTTCAGTTAAATGGAACAGCCATAGAGGAAAAGATTTGGGTATTACACTTCATTGTGCCAGACCCAAGTCTTTTCACAGCAACATGTGAAGGATTTCTCTCATTTGACTACATGATGGAGGTCCGGGATATTGGAATCTCCAGGAGGCCATAACATGATTAAATAAGTGAAGCTTTTCAGAAATCAAGCTTCATTCTCAAATGTGCAAATTTAGCATATATCAATATATCAGCTGCCTCAGGGCTAGTAGTGAGCTTTTTTACAAAGCCAATCAGTGTTAATAGAGTTCAGATACTCTTTGTTACAAATGACAGCTTTCAGGAGTAAGCCAAGCGAGCATGTGAAGCTGATGAAACAAACATGAAAATCACACTATTTCATGCACACAAACTGAGTCTTTGGCTGAAAACACATGGGTTTTGATCAGGATACATGTCTTTAGGGCATTTTAAAAAATAGAACTTCAAAATTAGATTTGGGATCTGTGGGAAATCAAGAAATGCTACTCATTTAGAAATCACGTGACCAGATACATTAACTTAGGTGCCTGTAATGAAATCCCCGATCTGATTCTTTCACATCACGGGATAGTGCTGTTGACTTTGCTGGTATGGCCATAATATGCACATGTACATTTTTCCTTCTTTCTTATTTCCTTTTGACCAAATCTTGACTCATTTTCAGGTGCAATGAGTTGCTGTCTCTGCTTTTTAAATATATTTTTATTTTAAATTAAATAAGCCTTCAACAGCCAGTTTGAATTTTTCCTTATGTGTTTCTTTATAGTGACTATAGGGATAAGTTGTTGTTTGTAACTGGTGAAGAATCAGCCTAGATATTTTCAGGGACTTGTGACAGAAAAGCCACTAACTCTATTATAAAAGAGGACTTTGATTATATAAGTGACTCTTTATAATAATCTAGATATTCATTAAAAATTGATAGTTAATTGAGAAAAGGGAGAAAATAGGTATTTCAGAGTTCTGTTTTCTAGTTAAGGAGAGGTAGAATAGAAATTGACAAACACAGATCAGGAGATAGTTTTGAGAATGTTTTGATCTTCAGAATAATTTCATTGGCCTTTCAGATATTTTTGTATCTGATTTTCAGAGTCAATAATTTTTAAGACTAGAAGTCAATGTGATTTTGACTGGTATTCTGCTGGTAAGGGCAATAGCGATTCTTTTGAAAAAAAAATACAAGAGTTTCTATCTTTCGTCTTGACATCCTGCAAACATCCTCAAAAAAGTTTTAGAAGGTGAATAACTGCTTTCATTTGCTTTCCCTTTCTGTGAAATTTAAGTTTTGATTATTACCAAGTGATTTTTATTGTTATTGTTGTGGCTGTTACTTTGACAACAGTGAAATACTGATCTGGGGCAATAATTTATTTCACACAAAGCTGTGGGGAAAGCCTTTTGTTGTTCTTTTTGTGAAAAACAAGATTGTAATTAGCTATGAGGATTTCTGTTAATTTTTGTAAACTTAATACTTCAGCTGAAATTCTCAGAAGAGCCGAAGAGAATTAGGAACTCAGGATAATTTCAAAACAGTGAAGTCTGCAGCATTTCTCGATGATGTTCTGTTGATGATCTAAACAAGTCTTAAACTAGTATAACTAAAAAAAACCCTAGCAGCTGTTCAATAGATGCTAGGGCAAGCCCATTATAAAATGTACTATGGTATGTCATAATGGTTAGGATACCAGTGCATTCTATTTTTAGTACCATTGACTCAGTCACTTGAGTTCAAAAAATAAGCAGGGAACATCTGTTTATTGAAAGGATTTCCTCTACATTAATTTCTCTCTCTATTCCATCCTTTATCAAGTACTTCCAAAAATTTTAACTGGTTCCTTTCAGAGTATGATCCAATTAATTTTCCAATATTCTGACACTGCATTAATTTTATTTTCTTATTAAAAGCTGATGCTGTGAAAATGTAATTACTCTCTCATGTTTCTTCAATTTTTTTTTAATAATTTGGAGTGTTGCTTGTGCTATATTTTTCTGAATGTTAAGATGTTCGAGATCTCTCAATAAAGCTCCTGTACCAAAGATTGTATTGCTGGAATTGCCAAAACAAATAGCAGTTTAAGTGCCATCCATGACTCTGGTCCAATATCTCTGTCAGAATATTTAACAGCTATTCAGCCAAATACCTGTAGAGCAGCTGTAGCCCTAGTCAGACCGAGGCTTATTCCGTCCTTCCTTTTAGCCTTGCCATATGATTCATCTTTCTTCTTTTAGAATATTAGTCTATTTATATATTGTACAAGAAAGCAATAGCAAATTAAAGATAAACACTTGCATATTAGCATGATACAATTCTGTACAATTAAAGCAATGTAAGTATTTTTCAGAGTTGGCATGCTTGACATATGGTGTGAAGAAAGAAGGGTGACACTCACATGACATGGGTATGACTTTTTGATAATGTAGCAAGACAACTACTCCACGAAAATACAGGAACTTCACTTTATTTCCTGAGGGGATTCAAGAGCTTTTGTATCACTACACTATTTTTCTTCTCTGAGCATCTCTTCCCAGAGGCTGCCCAGCTCTAGCTATATTATTGAGTAAGGCTCTGACCATGTGTTCGCCAGTATGTTTATTTTTCATAGGCTAAGATGACTTATTTTACTTTTCCCCCCTCCTTTGCTGTATAATCACAGAGGCCAGGAGAAAGAGATATCAAATATTTGAGAAATAATTTAGATCCTAGTCTGTATTCTTTTAGAATCCTTCTTTGATATGAGGTCCCCTTGATCTTGTTGGGGTTTTGTTGCTGTGTTCAAGCCTACATAGCAGGTTGCAGGATCTGAACTGTGTTAGCAATTTTCTCCTGGAAGAGCCATCCTTATTTAATTTTGACACATTACAAATAACTGACTGTAAGCTAATAGTAACACTCTCCTCACCTCCCATAACCTGTAGTAAGATGAATAAACAGTCATCGCAGTCCAATGCAAAACCGAGAGTGTGAAAGTCACTGAGAAAGAAATATTGCACTGGCGCTACCAAGTGTGATTCATATTTCTGATCTCAGGCCAGCTACTAGTGGGCAGGTGTCCACATCACAACCCTAACATAACTGGTGCAATCTGTCCCACCTTTGCTGTAAGCCTGTTCTAAAAATAAACAAAAAAAAAATCCCAAACAAATAAATAAAAACACAGCTTGGTTTGTTGTCATGATGGAACTAACTCTAGCCCATAAGGATTGTAGTTGACAGGTAAAGTCCTTTAAGACAGTTCTTTACTTAGCAGTGTAGTGGAGAGAGCTCAGGAAGAAAAAGAGTTTAGATTTATTTGTTTTATTAAATTATCACATGTTCTACTGGACCAACTGCTTTGTTTCTTAATCACTGCAGTGCCAAATAGACTTTCTGTATTTCCAGAATGTAAACTTTTCTTATTACCTGTCCACTAGTATTTTCAAGGATTCTACTGAGGCATCTCAAGTGTAAAAGATAAGATGTGGGGGTGTTTTCAGGATCCCAAGATTACTGTCCATATATGCAATATAGAACTTCATTAAACAGATTACTTGAAATGCCCTCTTTGGTAGACAATAACTTTTAACATTGTGTTTACCTTTTAGATGATGCTTCCCCTGAAAACTTCTCTTTGGCATTTCCAGAGCTAGATCAGCAGCTGCAGGTAAACTTTTCTTCTCTTATGACAGTTCTACTTCACATTTACTATATAAAAAGACTCTGATTGTTACACTATAGTGGAAGTTTTTAATGGTGCTTTTCTAGGCTGTTAATATTTAATAAGACCGTATGTATCCGTAGAAGAAAACCTTGTTTTTTCAAGACCTACAGAAAATTTTTAGTCCAACTGCAGGGAAATTGCTGTTTTAACAATCTTGCCTGCTTTTAAGATTTTCCATCCAATTCCTGCAGTGCTGCTGCACTGCAATGAAGAGAGTTCTTGTTGAACTGATGGGAGAAGGAATGAGAGGGGCATTATACATTCTAATGCCTGCAGGCTGTGCTATGACTGATATCATCAGTTTTCTCAGATGCATTCCAAGAGAATCCTTTGGTTACCAGTCTGATTTGTCAGCACAGAATGATGGGCCCCCAGTATACTGGACAGTGAGCAATTGACAGCAGCTCCATGGTCCTCTAGGCAAAAAGCCAGTTCTGCATCCAGGGATTATTTCCCTTTCCTCTGTGGTGATTCTGGAGTGTTTGCTGGCTTTGGTAGACTACTTCAGATCATCTGTTTTCCCAGGAGCATTTGGACTTCCTCTGATATTTCACTCTGAAGGCAGTTGTTTCCTGACTGTAAATTGAGAAGGGCATTAGTAGACCACTCATTGTGCAATAATGTCATCTTTCCTGGCCCATCAAGTGGTGAGGCAGCACGGGATGGCTGCTGACTTCAAGGGTGACGCTTCTGTCCCGCTGCTCTCACCAAAAGGATGACTGAGAAAGGAATGGAGGAAGACAGAGACACTTCTTGCTCTATCCCTCTCATCCTGAGGATATGGGCAGGTTCTTTAGGCATAAATAGGAATTAAGGAACCAGGTAGTATGCTAACCTCTTTATTCCACTAACCTTCCAGTGCAGCAAAGAGGATCGGTATTTTTTTCCTTAGAAGAATTCAATTTGAGAAAAGCAATCATGTTTCATGGCTGGAGCACTGATTTGAAAGTAAAGAACCTGCATTTTGTTTCCAACTCTCTCAGTGACACATTGGTTAATCCTGGAGTTTCTTCATCTCTCTGTTCATCTCTGAAATTAAGTTAATAATTTTTACCTTTTTTGTTGAAGAGCATTAAGACCAGTAAGTAAGGATTGCTCAAAAAGAGCAAAGTATGATTATTATTGCTGCTATTGATACATAAAAACAATATTACTAGCATTATGTATAAGTACTTTGAAGGACAAGTGATGATTTTTTCTATTAAGACTTTTATGACTTTTACATTTCTGGAATCTATAATATACTCTAAATATGGGATTTCATGATAGGCTGAAAATGCTCCTGTGGAAGCATTCAAGTGTTCTGGATATATAATAACCCTTCAGTAAAAGTTTTTAAGTACCCATTAGCACAATCCCCCTAAGTGTACCCAACTGGTCTGTTAAGTACTTGGCATTTGTTTCAGAAAGCCTTCCTTTACTCTCATAATATCAATATGATAACAAATTCAAAGAAACAATCAAAGGTTTTGGTTAATGTAATTTTCTTTTTATTATCCTTCATAATCTGTCTTGGTAATATCAAGGTAGCTGAAAGGATAACTTGTGAGAACTACCTGTCTGACTCAACCACTTAAAAGTATAAAATCTGTGGTAGCACTTAATCCTTTTGTTTTCAAGCTTATGTGCATGTTTATATTGCAATGCCTTTATGTTCATCCAAGGGCAGTGAAGTCAATGCAGGGCTCTCAGCTGGTGCAGAGATAACATTGCATTCAAATTTAGCAATAAACACTTGAATTTCCTTGCTTTTGTCAATCTGGATCACAGTTTCATGTGATAACTATTTAATGTAATGACAGTATTTTTAATCTGCTTTAAAATTTCAAACAAGCAATAGCTGTTACAAAGTTATTATTTACCTTATTGTATTTCTTATTTACTGTGTTTTTTTCAATCACTGCAATCCAAACTGCTGCAGATTTGCCAGAACTCTACGGCATGTGCTTGCAATTCTTTCCAGCTTTGAAACAGGTAGCTCCTGTATTACAGAAACAGGTAAAATGGGCTTCACCAGGACCTGCAGAAGTAGTGAATGCTGGTGTGCCTTGTCACTCCATCCATGCTTTTTTCTGTCCTGAAGTGCATTAATACAGAGCACACACATGAAGGGTTGTGTAAATGAACCTTTTAATCAACTGTGGCAATAGCAGCCTGAAATGCTTGAATCTGTAAGAATGCTGGTTCATATGTTCATAATAAAAATATCATCTCTGAGAGCCACAAGATTTTCATCAGTGTGCCATAAATACAGTCAAAAACATTTGAATTTTATTTAAAGAAGCAAACTATAAATGCAGGTTATGTGGCAATACAGTAATAGGCACCTTAAAAAAAAAAAGTAATAACTTTACAGATTTCAAGCATACAAAGGCAAATTTTGAAACCTGTTTTAAAAACAAACAAAAAGCCTAAATTAGCTGATCTTTAAGCTGGATTTTGAAAGCAGCTTCAAAGCTATGTAAGTTCAGCAAGTCACTTGGAAAATCAGAGCCTTAGAATTCTATGCATGCAGGCAGCAGACCACAGCCTGAGTACCAAGCAATTTGCACCTCTGTTTTAGGCTTCAAGCTCTCGTCCTCCTATGTTAGGCCTTGGCAGACAACTTGGCTATTTGAGCAGAATTACCTAGTGGTCCCACTTTTCCTCCCACAGTTCTTCCATACCTATTCCCTGGGCAGCAGTATCAAATGGCAGGGCAAAGTTCAGAGCAGCCTCCCCTTGGCAGGGTAACAAACCCTGCTGTCCAAGCTCTACAGAGGTGGATGTGGAATTGCCTGGAGAGAAGGTCTTTCTAGGAGACTTAGTAAAAGCTAGTTCTCTATAAGGACTCTTACTAAAGGACAGTTCTAGTTGCAGCTTCTTTCTGAAAATAAAAATGATCAGTTTGTGTATTCTGATGTATTAGCTAGCTTTAGATTAACATGTTTTATTTTCAAATTACTTTTTTGAATGTTACATTTTTCTACGCATTCCAAGAAGGAATTTGTAAAAAAATAACTACTTTAAATCAAAATTTGTATGTGATCTGTGGTCAACCGGACATGACAGCCCTTTGTATGAGAACAGGTCAGTTTAAGCTATATTTGCAGCTTTATTATTAAAAAACCCCCCACACAGACAACTAAAATAACTTCCTGCTAAGTTATCAGTGAAACAAAACTCATATTAATAAAGTTCTTGTTTTCAATTCCTTTTGTTTGCAGTATGGAAAATTATTCTCTTCCCACTGACAAGCAATACCTGCTTATTTGAGCTTTGGTGGTTTTCCCCCCTCCTGTGTGTGCCATGTAGTGGGCAGTGCAGCAAGGGAGGGCAGGTTACACCTGGCACTCTGTCACTGGGAAAATTTAACCTTTGCTTTGTCTGGATGGGTCCCTGCAAGGCACTTCCTTGATGAGCTGCGCAGTGACCCTCTGACAGAAATTTTACTATGGGTTATGTGCTGTATTTAGAAACCTACATCAGCACCCAAGGCCTTGTTGTTCAGGTCACTGAATGGAGAGGAGGGTATCTGGTGTTCATACCTGCATTGCTATGCCCTGTGCATGGCCTGTCCCGTTCCAACACTTCCTGGGACTTGCTCAGTTCATCTCTCCGCTCCCCATCAAAATCTTTATTCCAGCTGAGAGCTTGATCCTGAAGAGGGAAGAACACAAGTCACATATGGATGTTTCTACAGGGTGTTCTATAGTTCTTTATCTTTAGATGAGGCTCTGAGCAACCTGGTCTAGTGGAAGGTGTCCCTGGCAGGGGCTTGGAAGGAGGGGATCTTTAAAGCCCTTTCCAACAAAAAACAATTCAATGGTTCTGTGATCTTGTCTCATGAAATTGTGAGCTTGAGGCACATTTATGTCATATTTCATGTTACAAATCTCTGTCATTAGATGACTATAAAATTGCTGCAACAGAGAAAAAGCCCCAACCATTTATAACATCCAACCTTAAGTCAAAGGATAGTTTTTCTCACTTTAGTAGAAAATGCTCATATAAAAGAAGTAATGCAAATGTTAATGGGGCACTGTGTTGTGTGTGATATAAGCATTTAGCAGAAACCTTGTTTACTCTGGAACTTTAATTGCTTCTAGTGAATGTCAGGATTTTGTTAGACACATAAATTAATTTTCTAAAGTTTAAAAGCATACTGTTTTTTTAAAGAGGATGCTGTAATTTTTTTACTATGTATTGGTGTCCATGAGAATTCCTAGAGGACTGTGTTGCTCTATAATTAGATTTGATTGCCTATGAGCTTGATAAGTCTCCTGTAATGCTGCTGTGATAACTTTGGTCGTAGATTATGTAAGACCATTTTATGCATGTATGTTAACATGTGTGCGTGTTCACCAAGTCAGAGCATCATACTATGGTTAGAAAAGAATGGAAAATCTCCCAGGAAGGAGGGCAAATTGCTCTCATCCAGTGGACCTGAATTGTTTGGAAGAAAGAGAACTGTTTACTTTCATAGTAAAACCAGACTAGACTAGATGCGCCCTAAGATGGGTACCTGAAACTGGTGGAAGAGTTCCAGTTTCACAACAAAAAGTAGCTGCAATGTGCTATTTTTACTTGGCACAATGTGGGTTTTTCTATCATAGAAGAGTGCACAAGGCCATATAATGAACACAGGCCACATTCAAAATATTAGCATTGGATTCTCGATTTTCCACAAGACCTCAGCTGAAAGTTACCAAATTTACAAAAAGCAAGACACCACTCTTTAATTAGATCAGTGCTGAAGACTTATAGACAAGTTCACATGAGCTGGAAAAACTGCCTGATACAATTTTTTCTTGAAACTTCAACTTTTTCAGGAGAAAATTTTAATTTTTTTTTCACAATTAAACACATAAGTGCAATGATGGTGAATTTAAAAAATCAACTGTTTTAAAGCTTTGGAACAGTTGAGTGGCACTGCCAACTCTACAGCTTTTGTGGATATGGAATGCTGATTTTCATATGGCAAGGCAAAAGAACTTGTCATGTGAGTGAAGAAAAAAAAAAGCCCAAACCTGAAAACTTTCATTCTGTGTCACCCCAGCAAAGATTTTATTTAGAAGATCTCCTTCAACCTGCCTTAAAAAGCAGGCAGAGAGAGGCTATCCAGATGATTAAAGGAATGGAGACCCTTTCCTTCAAGGAAAGCAAGTCCCTTCCAACCCAAACATTCTGTGATTTTCTGTTTCTACATTAACTGCTTTCGCATGTCATCTTACAACATCTTTCATGTCTGGATTCTGAACAAAAGTCTAAATAAACAGTACATATGTTTTGTAAAGATTTACATATATATGTGCAGTTTCAGGATGGTCTATAAAAGGATCTCTTAGTGTCTACTTGCTGAATTCTGTAGAACATTTCTCAATGTTACTGTTTTGTTGAGTGAGTTACTCGACAAAATACAAGGAAAAAGCAGACCTTGTTGAAAATCAGGCTTAATAGGAGAGACCACCAGTATAACTTACAGCTCTAGCTTTTGTACTAGCTTTGTGAACAGGATCAGAGATGCTGCAAGTGCATATTTTGCCAGCTCAGGAAAATGAGGGTGGCTGACACTGAAGCCTGAAATAAACAGGATTAAAAGTAGAAGCTGTCGCCATTAAATGTAACCTACTTTGTCAGGGATGTTTTTTGCTTGTCTAGCAGGTATACTTTTATTTATATTAATTTATGGATAGGCAAGGCACAGCAAACTCAGGCTGTTCTAAGAGGAAAGTAAAGTATGGCTGTTTACTTCTGAGTGAAAAAAAAAAAGCATACTGCAAATTGAACTTCATTAAGGCCTTCTGAAATGAGTCACCTTGGTAAACTAGCAATCCCTTAACATAAAGATGTTCTACAGACCTCATGGAATGCCACTGGGTATTCTGTACTGCAGTATCTGCAGTTGCCTGGCCACAGACCATTAAAAAAGTCCTTCCACGTGGAATGGAGATTTGTATCTCTCCTTTTCCCATGTTATTGCAGGAGAAAGGGTTTGCTAAATAAGCCTGATTCATATGCTACTGACCAGAAACTACTCATGGATGCTGTAGATAATATCTCTGGAGCCTTTCTTAGTAGTTTGCAAATTACAGAGGAGCAAAGGAAATTCTCCAGTGCTGTCTGCCCCATCCCTGGAAGTGTTCAAGGCCAGGTTGGACAGGGCTTGGAGAAACCTGGCGTGGTGGAAGGTATCCCTGCCCATAGCAGAGGGGCTAGAACTTGATGCTCTTGAAGGTCCTTTCCAATCCAAACCACTCTATGATATGATCCAATTATATTCTATCTAGTAATTTGAAAATATTGTAACATTTATGTTTTAAAGAAATAATACACTAATAATTTAAAAGATTCTTTATATAGTGCCTACTACCGTCAGACAAATAGAAAATAATTTTATGAATAGAAATTAGTAAACTGATTGTTTAATTTAAGTGCTAAAATATCAGTGTAAGAGAAAATGTCACTGAAGAGGAAACAATAATAGGAAGGGGTTTAAAAGCCAGCAACTGGTTCTAAGTGAGCCTCAGATACTAAGTTTCAGCATGACTTGATAATTTTTAGCTCTCTATATATATCTTTTGAGTGGGAAGCTGGAATATAGAAACTGAGCGCTGTTTTAATTTTTAAACTGGTTTAAACCAGCTAGATTAGTGGAAACTAAATTGGAAGCAAATCCAAGATCTTTTCTGCTTTGTTTTGTTGTGTTTTTCTTTTGAAGTATCACTGTTTGGGGACTTTCCCCTTGGTACTGTTCGAAATTGTTTTATTGTGACACACTTGGTGGCTGATCTCTGGTAGATAGCAGAGATGCTGCTTTGGCTCATCCACACATTCTTGGATTAGAGCACTGAGACTTCTATATTCAGTCTTGCTAAATTTATGCTTATTATTTGGGTGGCTATATGAATGGTGCTCTTGCTCATCCACACTGAAATGCAATTAAAAGCCCTTTTCTAGGGATTAGATTCATCAAGTATTGGGCTGCCCTTCCCCTGGGTTCCCAAAATCTCCAAGATCAGGGAGAATGAAACAATGTGCTGTGAAACAATTCTGCTGCAGCAGTTTTAAATTTAGACTATGGAATATGAGTGTCTGTTAAAATTTCAGTGAGGAATCACACACCAACTACAAGTACTTGCAAGCTCCATACATTACTTACATCTGTGCTTTGGGTTATGTCTGAAGCCAGCTCACCCTGTCTCCTGAACAAAAATGTTTTTATCTTTGTCTCTGAGCATGTTTAGTAAAATTTAAATTTTCAGTTTAGATTGAACAAAGGATTACAGGATCATAAATAGGAAAAGTCTGCCTACTTGGGCTTTTCTTTTCCTAATAATGTCATTAAGGGAATATTATACTGCACAGAAGAGTCAAGGTAGGACAGCAAGAAATGCAAAACAATCTACTAATATTGTGAAAGGCAATTGGGTGTTATTTAAATGGGCAGTAAATTAACTATTTTAAGTGTTTCCTTTTACTTCAAACAGGTGGCTCAAGCATGCTATTTGGAGTTCATTTACAGTCAATAGATTCATGGCTAATAACTTAAAAATACTTCCTGAAAGTGTTATAACCAAAATGTGACATTCAAACCTGAAGCCTGAATTAAGATGCAATCTTTTTTAAGGAGCAAAAAGCACCTACATTTAACCAAAATGTATTTTCAAGAATTTTGATGATTTTCAAGAATTCTGATGAAGATTTTTGGGTTTATTTGCCATATTTATTACACTCAGTATGCATTGAAAAAAAAAGATGATGTTGGTGCAATGATGTCAGTTCCTGGCAGTGTAAAGATGTGTGTGATAGGTCTGATCAATGCATCAGCTTTAGCATTTCCATATCACTCTAGCTGAAAAAGAGGGAGGCAAGGGAGAAATTCTTCTTTGAAAAATCTTCAGGGATATTTTGAAGGAAAGCTGACAAGGAGAGTTCTGAAAATTCTCACAACGTTTGAAGTTTTACACATATGTTTGAAGTTTTACATATATTCTTATGCAGGGAACTGGTTTGGGTTTTTTCCCTCCTTGAAAGGCCATCACTAGGAATAGTTGGCCATATACTGCAGTTAAGGGAAAAAAATTCTTTAGGCATTCTCACAGGAATTCAGATAAATATTGTGTCTTTCAAAATATGTGAGGTTTAAACTAATATTTCATTCAAAAAACAGTGGGGTTTTTTTTTTCTTCTTTTTTTTCTTAAAGCCTCTGCCTCCTTGTCATGACTCTAAGGAATCTATGCAGGTGTATAAACAGCACTGCAAAATAGCAGAAGAATACCACGAGGTCAAGAGAGAAATTGCTCTGCTGGAAGAAAGAAAGTGAGTAACTTTCCCGAAGGATTTACTGTCCTACATTCTCTTTGCAAAACCCTGTTTGAAACATGAAAGCTTAACATTGTATTTTCTGACCTTCTATACAGATATTTTTATATATGTATATACTTATTTATACATATATTATAATTGTGGCCTTCCAGTATCTGAAGGAAGCCTAGAAGAAAATGGAGAGAGACTATTTATAACGGCCTGGAGTGACAGGACAAGGGGAATGGCATCAAACTGAGAGGGCAGGGTTAGATGGGATATTGGAAAGAAATTCTTCCCTCTGAAGGTGGTGAAGCCCTGGCACAGGTTGCCCAGAAAAGCTATGGCTGTGCCATTCCTGGAAGTGTCCAAGGTCAGGTTGGACAGGGCTTGGAGCAGCTTGGCCAAGTGGAAGGTGTCCCCTGCCTGTGGCATGGGGCTGGAACTGGATTATCTTGGGGGTCCCTTCTAACCCAAGCTATCCTGTGATCCCATGATTTCATGCCTCTGCCTGATGAGCACAGTAGAGCACAAGTTGGCCACTGCTCTACAGGACCAACTGGGGCCACCAAGGGCTGTCACAGTTCAGCTTTGTGGGTGTCCCTTAAAAGCTTCACTGACAGCGTCCAGGTCACATAACAATCCAGTTCATCTGGTGTAGGTTCCTTTTCAATTTTAGGTTTTTTCAATAAACACTGCACGCTTTAATGAAGAACAAAATAGATCCTCATTTAGGCTTAGAATCCTTGACAATATTAGTAAACATGTTTTTGTGTACACTGGTTCAATATACATTGGCATTTCAGGTGTTCATACCCAAAGTGAATAAGCTGGAGGCTTTTTTTCTTGTCTATGGCCTGTACTCATAGCCCTGTCATCTTTTGCCTGACTATGAAATGGCAAAGTGCACTCTGTGGCTGTTGGTTCCTTTCCATAAGAAACCTGAAAAAGAGATTCAGAGAGAGCAAAGAAAGTGAATAGTGAAATCTCTGCCCAGCTGACCCTGCGGTTCAGCCAAGTTTGCATCCATGGGAATCTTCAGCTGCAGAAGCAAGAGGGGAACTTGAAATCCTGTAGTCTTACAAGACAGCCAAAGAACTCCCTGAATCCAAACTATGCAGGGTAAGAAAGTGAGATGTAAGAAAGTGAGAGCCACAATATAGCTAGTTTTTGCCTAAAGTGTCAAAGCTAGGTGAAATTTCCCACTGCAAATCCCCTTCCACTGAAGGATCAGTGTGGCACTCAGATGCTGACAGACTGGAACAAAAGCTAAAAAAGATGATGTCCAATATCATGGGAAAATGTATTTTGCATTTGATTCATATTTGCAGTGTTTGCATTTGATTCACCATTAATTGAACTTGGCCAATCAAAAGTAATTAGTATTTTTAAAAAAGATTAGAAGATAAGTAATTTATTTTAAATTTGCAATGATTTTTCAAATTTGGTTGTCTGATGTAAGCTGCTTACATATTTAGCAATCAATTCAGTGGAAACCATTTGTCTTTGTCTACTCTGAAAATCCAAGCACGGTATAAAATATTAAATGATTGTTTAAGTGTTTGACTTTAGATGTATAAACACCAAAGGTAGACTTCAATCATTTTGGTTTTAGAGTCTACTTATATAAATCCATCATTATTATTATTATTATTATTATTATTGGCACAACCCGGAATCAGTTATGCCTATTTATGAAGAATGCTTGGAGCCCATGAAAATGAGGCATTCACATATGGTTTTGCACTTCTGGAATAAAAAAAAATTGCTGCTTGAATGCAATTTTTTATCTGTAAGTCTGTGGGACTAGCTAAATTAGAAATGGTTTGCTTCTTGAGAATGGCAGATACATGCACAAAATTATTTAAATGAACTCACCATTATCCTAATCAGCCTCTAAGCCCAGAGGTCAGCCTCTCAGAGGTGCTTATCTTGGATGAATTAAAGGCCTTCAGGCTGGCCCTTTCCTTCATTCCACCAGTGGATGTCAACAGTGGAACAATGTCAGGAAGCTTCCACCACTGCCGTCTTTGCTGAACCTGTTCTGGGAATTCCATGCCCCAGTAAACAGATGCTATGAGTGGCTGTATAAGGCAACAATGGAATTATATTACTGAGACCCACGTGTACTTTCTAATTACATATTTGTAGCCTTTTGTTCACATGCTGTATAGCTGTGAAATGCCTAAACGTAACAAATATCAGGGAAGCACCTTTCACACCTCCCATGTGTCTTAATCTGAAAAAGTGATCCTACAGCATTGGGATCAAGCATGTTTAATTTCCTCACAAGCTGCTGCACTGTGGTTGCCTGATTTTGAGGTTTAACAACTGCAAGTACAAATGTAGGATATGTTTCCTCCAGATGTGGATTGTTTCTAACTCCTTCCTCCAAGTAGATTATCCATTTTGTAGTATTTTGGAGCGGGTCTCATGCCTTCCACTATTGTGTATCTTTCCTTTCTGGAGCAGTCTGTTTTTATTAAACCCTCCAGAAACTAACTGGGACCTCTTTACCACATGGTTTGGTTGAAATTGAAAGGTGGATTAGAAAGTTATTAGGACACATGTAACTTTACACACATGTAAGCAAACAAACCTGAACAGGACAACCTTGATTTTTATCTAAAACTAAATAGAAAAGGAGTAGAAGTGTGGAGGCAAAGGAATAAGCAAGAAGTAAAAGGGAGTTTTGCTCTCATGTTCACTGATTTATGTCTAAAAACATTCTCAGCACTTACAGTAAGAGAGTTAAAAGCAGTTTAGGGACTAGCATATACTGAATGAAAAGTGGATTATAATGGCTGGGGTGGCATGCATGTTTTGCATTGTGTGTGTACATATAAGTGTATAATAAGTGTATATATATATATGTATATAAATACATGTATATATATACATATATATATGTACATAAATACATTCTTATATATGTATACACTTATATATGCACCTTATAATTGTGGCCTTTCACTAGCTGAAAGGAGCCTGCAAGAAAGATGGAGAGAGGCTATTTACAAGGGCATGTAGAGATAGGACAAGGCAGAATGGTTTTAAACTGATAGAGAGTAGTTTTGGATTGGATATTAAGGAGAAATTCTTCCCTGTGAGGAGGCTGGGGCACTGGAAATGGTTGCCCAGACAGCCCTGGCTGCCCCATCACTGGAAGTACTGAATATTCCATTTTAAAAAGGGAAGAATGTTTTCACTTGTCTTAAAAGTCTGATGAGATGCACAAGTTTTTAGCCTCAAAACCAATTACAATCAAACTGAAAACAAAGACATTGCAATTTTCTAAAATTTGCCCCTGTTGTGGATTTCTTCTTCTACATTTGAGTTTGAATGTATGGAAATGAAGTTTCCCAATTGTCTACTACACCTACTATCTATTGTCCATTTCTCTTAAATACTATTTTGATAAAATGGACAATGATCAAGCTGCATCCCTTGTAATGGGAACAAACAGCTTTTATATTGTTTTTCAGTGTGCATTTTTACCAAAGGCAATCACAAATGCTGCTGGATGGTAACTGGGAGCCAGTGCTCCCAGCTTCTCTCCACAGATCATTCCAATAACTCTCACCTTTCTGTACCTGTGGTGCCTGTGACAGCGCATACAGGATGCTGAAGGCTATGACTGACAGAAAAAAGCAGAAAATGGATTGAGCAAATAATTTTTATTTGTTGGCTAGGAGGAAGAGATAATGTTAACCTGACAAATATCTGTACAGGTATTAGAGCTTTTTAGGAAAAAAAAAAGTATAGAGTTAATTCTACTTTAAATATTTTTTGTTCCAACCTCCAAAGTTCAGTGTAACCTGTCCTACATGAAATAATATATACAGGTATATTTTTATATTATTTTATGAGACATAGAAAGTTGTAAACCATTATTTTAACAATAGTTAAAAGCATTGAATCTTTTACAACTTTTCAAAGGCTTTTACTTCTGCTTAGCTTGATGTGTAATGTGAGCATCAAGTACAGCCAAAGTAAAAAATCAGTGAAGTGAAATGACAAGGGTTGCTTTTCATCAAGGTGAGAACAAACTTACTTACTTGTTCTCTTTTGTGCAATATAGATGGCAAGAGAATGTACTAGGCTGGCAGTGGGAGAGAAGATGACAAGTATTTCACAGGAAAATGGGAAACATGAGAGAGAAAAAGAGGTTGTAGTATCAAAAAAGGGGAAATCAAAGGAAAAAGCAAATAAAGATGGGAAAAGAAGTTACTCAAGAATAAAAAAGGAAGCAAGAATTTGAAAGAACATTGGGTAGATTTTTTGGCTAATTTAATCACAGCTTTGTTTGCTGTCTTCACTCACACTCTTCACATTTATGCCAGCAATACGTAGTACAAGGGAAAAAACCACTCTGGAATGGGAGACATGATTGAAAATAAAGAAAAGGGTGTGGAAGCGAGAACACACCACATTTAGGGCACAGAATGTAATTTAATTTATGTTCCAGAAACACACACGTATTTCCATAACAGATGGTTTTGGGTATCTAACTTTGGGTGAAAGGGATGAGATGGCTGGTTATTTTGAGCACTTGTTATATTGCTATTACTAGATAATGACCCTGGATTATGTAGTTAAATATTAGAGTTGCCATGGTTGCTAGCTGTATCTTATATTCTTAGCACTGCATGGTTATCTCTTTTTCCTCCCCCAGACAATTCTAATATAACTCTACAGAAAATATCATTTGATCACCACCTGGTTTAGGATCACTCGTTCTCTTGCCCATGGATATGATTTCTTTTCCTTCTTTTACACATTAGAGTAGACAGAGAATCATGGAATTGTTAAGATGGGAAAAGACCTTTAGGATTATCAATATTACCAACCACCAGCCCAGCACCACCTCCCTGTTCACCATTAAACTGTGTCCTCCACTGCCACCTCCACATGTTTTTAACTACTCCAGGGATGGTGACTCAACCACTTCCCTGGGCAGCCCATTCCAGTACTTTACTAACCTTTCAATTAAAAAGTTTTTCCTGATATCTAAT